TGTAAATAAAATCTTAAAAAAAAAAAAAATGAGTCTGAAGGTGCGTCTACTCCTTCAGGGCCTGGACACCCACACATCACCAAGAATCAGGTAAACACGACAGTGCCAAAGGGAACTAATGAAACTCCAGTGACCAGCTCTGAAGAAATGTAGAGCCATAAGCATCCTGGCAGAGAATGCAAAGTAATTGTCTCCGAGAAGCCCGGGGAACCGTGAGAGGACACAGATACGCAACTCAACAAAATCAGGAATAGAACACGTGAACAAAATTCGAAGCTTAACAAACAGGGGCACCCCGGGGAGGGGGGACGCAGTCGGTGAAGCATCTGACTCTTGATTTCAGCTCAGGTCACCATCTTGGGGTCCTGGGATCGAGCCCCACATCGGCCTCCACACTGGGCGTGGAGCCTGTTTAAGATTCTCTCTCTCTCTTCTCCCCTCCCCTGGTCACATGCGCGTGCGAGCTAGCACGCCCTCTCGATCTGTCTCAAAAACAAAAAAAGGGGGGTTAAGATGGGGGTTCCTGGGTGGCTCTCTTGGTTGGGTGTCTGGTTCTTGATCTTGGCTCAGGTCGTGATCTCAGGGTCGTGAGTTCGGGTCCTGCACTGGAGCTCTGTGCTAGGCGTGGAGCCTACTTAAAAGAAAAAAATGATTAAGATGGTAAATTTATATTATGTGCTTTTTTTTTTTTTTTAAAGATTTTATTTATTTATTTGTCAGAGAGAGAGAGAGGGAGAGCACAAGCAGGCAGAGCGGCAGGCAGAGTAGAGAGAGAAGCAGGCTCCCCACTGAGCAAGGAGCCCGATGTGGGACTTGATCCCAGGACCCTGGGATCATGACCTGAGCCGAAGGCAGCGGCTTAACCAACTGAGCCACCCAGGCGCCCCATATTATGTGCTTTTAACTACAGTTTATAAAAAAGGAGAAGCTTAGGGGCACCTGGGTGGCTCAGGGGATTGGGCCTCTGCCTTCGGCTCAGGTCGTGGTCTCGGGGTCCTGGGATCGAGTCCCACATCAGGCTCTCTGCTCAGTGGGGAGCCTGCTTCCCCCTCTCTCTTTCTGCCTGCCTCTGTGCCTACTTGTGATCGTCTCTCTCTCTGTCAAATAAATAAATAAAATCTTTGAAAAAAAAAAAAAAGGAGAAGCTTGAAGAGGAAAGGCACTGATTCTCCTCTAGAGTTTCCAGAAGGTGCACTGCCTTTAACTTGGGCTCAAACTGATTTCAGACTTCTGGTCTCCAGAACAGGGAGCAAATTAATTTCTGTAGTTTCTTTTTTTTTTTTAAAGATTTTAATTTAATTTTATTTTATTTGACAGAGAGACAGATCACAAGTAGGCAGAGAGGCAGGCGGAGAGAGAGAGGGGGAAGCAGGCTCCCTGCTGAGCAGAGAGCCCGATGCGGGGCTCGATCCCAGGACCCTGAGATCATGACCTGAGCTGAAGGCAGAGGCTTAACCCACTGAGCCACCCAGGCGCCCCAATTTCTGTAGTTTCTTAATTTGCTCCCCACACCACACACATACTCACTTAAACCAAGTTTGTGGTAATTTTCTAGAGCAGCCCCAGGAAAACAGTTGATAAAGGATTCCCTCTACTGTCAGGAGACTCAGCTCCATGAGGATTAAAAGCTGGGATAGGGGCACCTGGTTGGCTTAGTGGGAAGAGTTGTGAGTTCACGCTCAACGCTGGGGGTAGAGATTACTAAAAAAATAAATAAATAGACTTTAGGGGGTGCCTGGGTGGCTCACTCAGTTAAGCATCTGCCTTCGGCTCAGGTCGTGATCTCAGGGTCCTGGGATCAAGGCCCACATCGGGCTCCCTGCTCAGCAGGGAGTCTGCTTCTGCCTCCCCCTTTCACTCCTGCTCTCTCTGTCTCTCTCTCTCAAATAAATAAAATCTTTAAAAAATAAATAAATAAACTTAAAAAAAATTTTTTTTTTAATTAGAAAGAAATAAAAGCCAGGGAAGGAGATAGGGAGTGACAGAGAATGTTAAGTTATTGGGATGGGTGGGGACACCTGACCTCCAGTCAAAGAGCCAGTGATGAGCACATGCTTGGGAAGTTGGAACAGCAGAAGAGGCCCACGATGGTTAACAAAGGTGAGCAAAGAGAGAAGAAATAAAAGCAAAGAACTAGCCAGAGGCTAAGTCCTGTAAAGATCGAAGTAGGGCTTTGGGTTTAAAAGCAAGAAAATGTCACGCTTTGACCCATGTGTTCAGAAGCTCCGAAGGGTATTAGGAGGACATGACCTGGGACTACTGCCCAGTGCACCCGGCTAGACCAGGGAGGAGGGAGAAGTGGTGGAATTCTGGATATATGCTGTGCAGAAAGGCAGTAGAATGTGCCAACAGATCAGACACAAGGGGCAGAAGCAGAGAATGAGAGAAGTCAAGGCCACCAGCCCACGACAGGATGGTATGTCATTGACAGAAATGAGGAACCGCTGCGAACAGCAGCCCCAGGCACCCATTAAGAGCTCTGGCCTGGACACATTAAGCGTGAGGTGCCCATATGCCATCAAAGTGGAGGCGCCAAGGAGACATTTGTGTGCTCAGGTCTTGCAGTTCAAAGACGGGGCAGGCGAGTCACCAAGCGACGTGTCTGGGTGAGGTCACCCAGAGTGGGCGAGAAGGGGGCAGACTGTGTCTGACCACAGGGATCCTGTGATGCCAGCTCTTTTTGTCCCGAGGCTAGGACAGCTCAGGAGTAGGCCCCTGCCTGGGTGACAGTCTTGGGCTCATCCTGTGACAGCGTCCTTATCCCCACAGAGCTTCTTGCTTGTCACTAGCTTGTGTTTCTCGCCAGGCACCAACTTAGCAATTTCGGACAAATCCTAATCAGTGACCTGGAGTAAACGAGCCTTTCCCCCAGGGCTCATGACCCATCACGAAAATTTTTATCGTGAACCCCATCAGTAAAATATTTTTTTTATTTTTAAAAAGATTTTATTTATGTATTTGACAGAGACAGAGATCACAAGTAGGCAGAGGCAGGGGAGGAGGGGGGAGCAGGCTCACCACTGAGCAGAGAGCCCGATGCGGGGCTCGATCCCAGGACCCTGAGATCATGACCCGAGCTGAAGGCAGAGGCTTTAACCCACTGAGCCACCCAGGTGCCTCCCATCAGTAAGATATTTTTGAGCAAACGTCATATATATGGCAAACAGACTCCTAAAACTTAATGGATCCAAACGGGGGCTCTCAATTTGCTCCCCACCCCACACACGTACTCATTCTCACTTGTAAGTCACAGACGTACTCGACCACTCGAATAAAACACGGTCATCCCATCACCGCGCAAAAGCGGAGTTCACAAAGAGTCCTCCAAAGATGAAAAACAGTACTCGAACGATAGTATCATTTAAAAATACAAAATTCCTTTTTTTGTCTTTAAAAAAAAAAAGAAAAGAAAATACGTAATACCTTATACAAGCGACTGAACATGTCCGATCTGATGATCCAGTCCCTGGTTCTGCCGGGAACTGGGGCTGACAAGCAGTTCCTACCAGGGACAGACGCTCCGTCTTTTTTGTTCGTCTTACAGGACCAGCATTGTCTTCCAACTCGGCTTTCTTTTCAGGAATCTTTGGCAGCCACAGGTCCGTTCTGTGAACGTTAGTTTTGTTAAAAGTTGACAAAATCGCCCAGCTAAGTCGGCACAGGCGCAGGGTCCCTCCAGGTCCACTCTGTGCCCCCCTCCAGCCTGCATGATGGCCCGCTCAGGAAGCCATCTGACCAAGACAGAGCAAGGGCACCAACGCCAATATAAATATTAAGTATTTTTAAAGCCCAGCTTCTTTCTTATCAGAAATTAAAATTCTGATATTGTCTTCCCTCCCCCAGGTAACTGTTTTTTGCACCCAGGGCTGAGGGCCCCTGCCTTGCCGGCTGCTGGCCCTGGCTAGAGGAGCCTACACACTCGTGATTATGTAGAACCCAAGTGGGGGCAGATCTGCCCCTTATTCACTGGGCGCCCCTGGGCATGGTGCTCAGCCTCTCCGCTCACCACTTCTCTGCAAGGTAATGAAGTGGGGGAGGGGTCTAAAGGGAGAAAGGGTCACCCTCCCCAGGTCCAGCGTTCTAGGATTCTCCACATCCAGGCAGAATGGTTCATCTCTTCAGTGCTAGACTGGGGACCCGTGCTTTGGGGACAGCGCAATTCCTCCGGCCATTTCAAAGCTGTGCCTCCTCCTGCACCCTGGGCAGGGCTGGAGCTCCAAGTCTCCAACACTGGGGAGAGCAGACCCCTGAGCACATCTGTCACAGCCCCCCAGGGGTCCACTCCTCCCAGAGCGTCCTCCTTTAGCTCCCTGCCTAGCCGGTGAGGGCCTGAGACATGGGCCATGGCCTTCCCCCCGCCGGGGCCTGACCTCACTGCAGGGGTCAGAGAGGCAGAGGACGTGAGGCGCGCCCCTCCTCAAGGCGGCCACCACGGGTCCTTCCTCAGGGTCCACACCGCCTCCTCCAGCGCCGGTCTGGGCTCTTGGTCATCAGCTGGCTTAGGTTACAGGGGCCCCCCGCGGGGAAACTGAGGCCCCCCGTCCGGGCCTCCGCATCCTCCGAAGCTGCGGCATCGGAGCACGCTTCCCCTCCGATGCTGCAGTTTTGCGCTTACGAGGCCCAGACTCGCGGCGCCCAGCGGGGACTTGGCGCTCGGGCGGAGATGAATGAAAGGGCGGGGCGGGGCGCCGCCGGGGGCGCGGGGCGGGGCCGCGCAGGGCAGTTCTGCCGCTCGCCCGCGCCCCGCCCCGCCCCCGTGCCGCAGCTCCAGGCCCCGCCCCGGCCCGCCCCTCCGCTCCGTCCCCAGGCCGCCGCGGCGCGGAGCCGGTGCCCGAGCCGGTGTCCGAGAGGCGGCGGCGGCGCCGGGAGCCCAGCCCACCCCGGCCCGCCCCGCGCTCTCCGCCTCCGCCTCCCGGGCCGGCGGCGGCGGCGGCGGCGGCGGCGGCGGCGGCGGCTGCGGGCGAGCTAGCGGGGCCCGGGCCGGCCCCCAGCCCCAGCCCGCCGGGCCCCGCCCCCCGCCGAGTGCATGAGGTTGACGCTACTTTGTTGCACCTGGAGGGAAGAACGTATGGGAGAGGAAGGTGCGCGGGGCGCGGGGCGCGGGCCGGGAGGGGCGCCCACCGGGGCCGAACGGGCGGGGGCGTCGCGCCGGGGCAGCCGGGGCCCGGGGGGTGGGGGGAGCGGGCTGCCGGGAGGGGGCCGGGCCCGGCGGCGGCGGAGGCCGGGTCTGCCGCGAGGCCGCGCCCCTGCCTTCTCTGGGCTGAGCTCGCCCTTCCCGAGCCCTCCGGCCCCTCCCTGACACGCTCCCACCCCGTTTCCCCCCCCCGCTCAGCCCGGGCTGGGCCCGTCCTCCCTTTCATCCCCGCCTCCCCCCTCCCCCGACCAACGACCACTCGGGAGGCTTCCCGGGCGCTGCCTGGCCGGCCCCGGCCTCCCTCCGCGTGCTCTGCCCACCCGGGTACTCGCACTGGGGCCACCCCTTATCCTGTCTCTAAGCCGGCTGGGAAGAAAGGGGGTGGGAAAGCCCCAGCCCTGGGTCCGAGCCGCCCGCCCAGTTCCTTGACCTTGAGCTAGGGATGGGCTACGTGCCAGGCCTCAGTTTCCCCGTCTTTACGATTGGGGGCTGGGTACTTGGCCCCCGGTACTGGTGGTTGGGGCCGGGTTGAGAAGCCTCCTCCAGGGAGCCGTCGGCGGTATCCCGGGAGCCTCCACCCCCTCTCCCTGCACCAAACCCAGTGCCTGCCATCCGTTGTGGCTGGGAAGATGACTCTCATTCTAGTCTCCTCTTCAGCCCCTTTCCCCTTCCTGGGGCCCAAGGATTGGCTTGCAGGACAGTTAGGGTATGAAGACCTCCGAGACTCCCTCCCTGGTGTCCCCTTCCCGGGGTTTCCACAGCAGCCATCACAGAGGCTCATCTGATCCAATCCAGGTCCCATCGATGCCAGCTCCTCCAGCCCTGCCCTTCCCTAGGGCTCCTGCCAGCCGTCCCCAGGCCCTTGAAGGCCTACTTGGAGCAAGAGCCCTTCTCACTGTCACCCCTCCCTACCTTTTGGTCCCTGCATCCTCACGGAGGGCCAGGCTATGGCCTGGGAGCCTGGCTGTGGCCTGGGAGCCTGGCTGTATGACAGGCCTGCCCCCTCCAGGACTCAGTCTCCCCATCTGTACAATGGGGACGAGTAGGTTTGGGGGGGTCCCCCAGGGCCCACCCAGCTCCAAGGATACCAGGCCCTAGAATGACTAAGCATGCCTAATGGCCGGCTTGAAGAGGCACCAGGCGTCCCCAAAGCAGGTGTCTGTGAGTGCCCAGCTCTAAAGCCCCAGGCCCTCAGAGGCCAAGGCACAGCTGAAACTCAGATGAGGCCAGCACCTCTAGGCTTCCTGCCTTTCTCCTCTTATAGGGGCTTCAGCTCTGGATACACCGTCCCAGCCCTGTCCAGTCCCTGCCCTTTGAAGCTTCCTCTTTCTGGAAGGCCAGGGAGGAAAGAGGCTATGACAGGAGTATCACCTGCTGCTTTATCTCTAAATCCTGCCGCTTGCTTTCTCCCATTTGACCTTGCTAAACAGGAGTTGAGGCAGGAGAACGCTGTTGCTGGAGAGTGGACATCCCGTGTCCTCCTCTTCAGTTGACAAATAGGGAAACTGAGGCCCACAGAGGCCTAGCAAGTTAGCTAAGGTCTCAGCGAGACTCTCAGACCCGCGTCCTTTCTCCTTCTGCTAGGCACAGTATCTGGGTGCTCTGTGTACGTGCCAGAGAAGGTGCCGGGTCCCCGTGGGGTGGGCTGGGCAGGCCGGACCTGCACCAGACCGCGCCTCCCAAGAGGGACTGCTGACTGCCTGTGTCCTTGCAGGAAGTGAGCTGCCCGTGTGTGCGAGCTGCGGCCAGAGGATCTATGACGGCCAGTACCTCCAGGCCCTGAGTGCTGACTGGCACGCAGACTGCTTCAGGTAGGCAGGGCTGGCCGGGGTGGGGGTGCCCCGAGGAAGGCCTGCCAGCGACCAGAGGCCGGCTCAGCGGTCCGGGAGACATGGCTAGTCCCTCTGGCACCGACTCCGGTTAGTTTCCCCACCTGTAAAATGGGGCATGGGGACTAGAAGGTCCCCAGGGGCCTTTCTGTTTTGTCATCCTAGATCTCTTAGGAGAGGAGAAGGGAGACCTGCATTTCCCCCCGTATTACTGAGGCCTTCTGGCACCTAGGCAGGGGGAGGCCATGGAGGGCAGTGTGCCCCTGCCTACGGGGTGTTCACACTCCAGAGAAGGAGGGAGGATACAACCCAGGCCCCAGGCTCGTTGTGAACAGGCACAGCCCAATAAGGCCAGCCCCCTCCTCCAGGAAGCAGCTCCAAGTGTCAGAGAGCAAGGTCAGGGCTGTGGCCAAGCACGGGGGACCCAAACGTGGCCCAGCCACCCAGCAGGACCATCCTGAGAGGCAGGTGCAGGGGATAGCCTTAGGGTTAGCCGTAGGGCCAGAACCGGGGTCTCGGAGACATGAGACATTCTGCGCGGGGAAGTATGGCAGGAAGCAGTTCCAGGCAGTGGGCCTTCTGGCAGGCGGCAGGGGTGGAGGGGTGACAGCACAGGGCCAGTCGGTGAAGAACAGGGTTGGGGTGGGAAGGCATCAACCGCCAGCTACAGGGGTTTATTTCCGCCAGCAGGAACCTCTGACAAGTTTTGTCTATTTGTTTTTTCTTTAAGAACAACGTCCAACATTTTCTGCAACTTAGCAAGGGCCTGGCATCCTTCTAAGGACTTTGTCTAATCAGATACTGTGTTGTCTCCGTTACTGGGGACACAGACATTAATTCTCTTGACCAGTCACACAGCCAGCGATGATTCTGGCTGATGAGGCCAGAGGAGAGGCAGGCACGGGGCCCAGGGCTCCCGATCAGGGGTTCACAAAGGGGCCTTTGGGGACAAAGAGGGCTCTGGATAGCTGGAGAAAGCCATACGCACAGAGACAGAAATGGGAAGAGCTCATCTGGTTTGAAAAGAGGGAGCGGGGGAGGAAGGTTGGGATCAGCCTGTGACAGGACCCCAAGGCCAAGATAAGGCCCTTCCAAGGGCACTAGGGCGTCAGCCGAGGGTTTGCAGAAGGCAGTGGGGGGGACGTGGCGGAAGTGCTAGGAAAAATGCCATCCCAGTGGGCAGATGGCGGTGACTTGGCAGGGAAGGGACCGTCACAGTAGTTCAGGGATCTGACCTCATAAGGCCTGACCTAGGACAGTGACGACAAATGGAGAGAGGGGACAGTTCCCGCTAGCGATCGTATTAGCCACTGTTTATCGGGCGTTTTTGACGTTACCCTTGACCCTGACCACCCCAGGTTTGAACCGCGCCGGTCTACTTTTATGCATATTTCTTTACCGTATGATACCATAGATGTCTTTTCTCTGTGATTTTCTTAGTAACGTTTTCTCTAGCTTGCTTTTTGCTGTAAGAATACGGTAGGTGCTCCATATAACATACGAAACACGTGTTAATTGACTATTGATGTTACGGGGAAGGCTTCCGGGCACCAGCGGGCCGGGAGTAGTGAAGTTTGGGGGAGGTGAAAGTTACCCATGGGTTTGTGGCTGTGCGGGCGTTGGTGCCCCTGACTCTGGCATCGTTCGAGGGCCAGCTGGATGGCATGAAGCCCTCACCATCCCCCTGTGAGGTACCGTGACTTGTGCGTTTACACGCAACAATGGGCTAGAGCCTGTGTCGGCCTCGCCCCAAGTCACTGCAGAGGTGAAGAGGTGAGGGGCGCGGGAGCGGGGACTGGGGAATAGCAGGGGAGCATCTGAAGCCATCTGGGCTTTTGCCCTGGGCGCTGGGGAGCATGGCGCTCCTTTGGCTCCCTGGGAACCACGGCAGCGGGCTGATGCCGAACTGTGCCCAGCCACGTCGAATTGAGATGCAGCAGGCCGTCCCGGGTGGCAGGGCCCGGCCTAGAGCTGGTGAGGTGCTTTGAGACCCCTCAGAGGTGGGAAGGCTGGAGAGGCAGCTCCTGCGGGGCCAGGATGCTGAGAGGGTGGGCAGGATTCAGGATGGGGCCGAGGAATCCGGAGGAACTTTGAGGACCCCTGTCCTGAGGGTGGGGAGGGAGGTGGAATTTGGGGAGACACAGGGGAGGGCCGGGAATGCGGCCATGGAAGCCACAACAGGGAAGCTGAGTGGGGGCAGGGGACAGGATCTGGCTTTGGAGGGGTCCCTGCCCTGTGACCAGGAGGAGTCGGGCCCACGTCAGAGAGGAGGAAGAAGGATGTGCCGCTGTCCCTGGTGTGGGGGTACAGGCCCCCACCGCGAAAGCAGCCCCACAGGCAGTAAGAGCCACGGCATCGGCATTCTGGCCTCCACACGTGCTCCTGGCCAAGTGGTCTGCGCTTCTCCCAACGGCCCCCAGATCTGAGCCAGGCCAGTGGTGTCCTCACCACTGTGACAGTTAGGAAGCACTGTCCGAGAGGAGTCACCGTGTGCCCAAGTCCCAAGGCCACCCAGCAGCTAGGCTCTGGACTCTACTTGCTTTGTCCCTAGGAGCCTCTCAGGACCGTGACGTGGGGCTGCCACCGGCTCCCGGGCCCCGAGTTCCTTGCCATGGGAGAGTTGCAAAGGCACATGGCCTGCCTCTGGCATTAGCACAGGGGGTCACTGTCACCACAGGGCCCACTCCTTTCTCCGTTCTAGCTGTCCCACCTCCTATGGGCCCCACCTCCCAGGAGGTCACGGCCGGACGGAGTGGTCCAAGCGTTGCTCAGGTCCAGCTGCTGGCCAGAAAGGGTCTGTCCCAGAAGCCAGCAGCCCTTCGGCCCTGGGGCCCCGCCGTAGCTCTGGTGACATCTCGGAGGCTGGGTGGGCTGGGCCCCCGGTGAGTAGGGGTGAGCACGCAGCGGGCACGCAGTTCAGAGCCCGGGCCAGGGTGAGGTCTCCCCCTCTCCGGGGGACCTTTCAGGCAGGGAGGACAGACCATCTGTGGAAGTCAACCTCTGTCCCTTTGGCAGCAACACCGGAAGAAGCAGCTGCTTTGGGGCTTGTCCCTGTCCCCAGGGAGTCCCGAGCCTCCCTTGGTCCATCCAGAGGCTAAGGGACCTGAAGGGCGCTCTCCGAGGTGCGCAGGGCTGAGGGCGGAGTGGGGGCCCCGCCTCCCTGCCTGCACCAGCAGAAGGCCCCCCAACGGCTTCCTGTTGTGGGCCCGGACCAAGTCCTCCTCAGCCTCCTCAGCCGCAGCCCTGCAGCCTCCTCCCCCACTATGTGGCCGCTCTGGCCCCACCCTCTGACCCTCTGCGGCCTCCAATCCTGAGGGCCTGGAGTAGGATGGGGAAGCAGCTGGCTGGGCCCACCCCCCAACGCTGCACCCCTGCGGCAAGGGATGCTGGCCCTGAGAAGAAGCCGCTTCCTCAGAGGAGCCAAGTAAGTGCAAATCCCCCTGCCCAACCCAGCCCACACCTCAGGCTGGGTGCCTGGTCTGAGGGCCCCCTGGGGCCAGAGGCTGCCCTGTGGGGCAGACCTACCTGGGAGCAGGCAGCTCCGGGGGGGCAGGAGAACTGAAACTCCTTGGTCACTGTTGGCCGCCTGTTGGGGGAGGCAGGCCAGCGGCTGCGGAGCCTTCTTCTGGCCCTTTCGTCCAGTCTCCCCATGAGGCTGGTCCTCCAGCTGTTTTTTTCTTCATCCCTGGTGTCCGGGGATGTGGCCCTGGCTGGAGGGCATCCCTGGGAGGGATGGACGTCTGCCTGCCTGCCTGCCCTCCAGCAGTTCCTCTGTCCAGCCTGGGGCCATCTCTTCACGCCCTCAGTGCCTGGTGCTCCCCCCCTTGACATCCCTGCTGGAGGCAGCAGCAGGGGTGGGGGTGCCCTTAAGAGCCCCCCCCCTTTCCTGCTCTGGCTGGTGGCCAGATACTGGCCTGAGAGGTGAAGGGATGGACAGGGCCAGGGGCTCCTCTGTGCCTTCCACATGCAGAGGTCCACTGAGGCCCTGAGTGCCCGCCCCAAGCTGCTCCCCTGTCCGAGGTAGAGACCCCCTCCCCAGGAGCGATCTGGGATGCTTGGGGCGGACCCACTCCAGGTTCAGTGTTCTGCAGGAGCCACTTCCGTTCTCTCTGGGTCCAGCATTCGTGGACTTCTGGCATGGGACCTCAAGAGAGCCCTCGGGGTGATGGCAGAGAGCGGGGGTGCTGGCCAGGGCTGGCGATGGAGGCTGCATTGGGGGGCACTCCAGCCAGGTGACTGAATGGGCTTCAAGGAAGTGGTGACCAGGGAGCCGAATGGGCTCCCCCAGTCCTTGTGGGAGTCAGCGCCGCATCTTCCCGGGCTACTACAGTGAGGAATGTTAGTGCGGGAGTGTAGGAGCTGGCCGGCTGGAGAGGAGCATTCTCCTCCCCCAGAGGAAGGCAGCTGCCCGGATCCCCCACCAGCCCACCCGCCAGAGGCAGGCGGGGCCCTGCTTCCTGCAGTGAGGGGGAGACTAATGTGGTGACATTGCTGTGACGCGCCGAGTGTCTAGCCGGTGGAAGGGCAAAGTGAATCACTCGCGGATGGCACAGGGCGCGCGGGCGGTGGGGGAGCCTCGCCAAGGTCACGGTGCGGGGCGCGCGCCCGCCTCTTCGCGGAGCCGGCTCCTCGGCTGCGCACCTTCCCGCCAGGCTGTGGGCCCCTGAGGGCGTGCACTGGGGATCCCCTCCTCCTGGGCGGCCTCCTCCCAGGCCCCGTGCCTTCCGCGCCCCTTCGCCCACCCTGCGGTGAGTTGCGCCCACTAAGGGCGCCCCGGGCCAGGGCCTGGTGTGCGGGGGCAGGAAGGGCTGGGGATGACGTCATGGCTCCCGGCCAGCGTTGCTTCCGCTGCCTCCTCTCTGTCCCAGGGCGGTCTCCGGAGGCCTTCCCTCCCCCACTCCCGCCTTTCTTAGAGGGAGCTCATTGGACCCCCCCCTTCCTGGGTGCACCCCCACCCGGATGCATCTGCACCCAGGCGCTTTGTGCCTTCTCCTCCCCAACCCCCAGCCCCCAGGCTGTGGTCCCCCAGCCCCTCCCCTCAGGCTCCCAGACAATGGGGAACTAGCTGGATCCTCTTAAAGGGACAGTGTCCCACCAGCACTCTGGGTTGCCACCCTCTCCCCCCTCTTCATCTGCAGTTGCTAAAGAGATCAGTGAGTGAGGTCACGCCATCAGAGGGCCGGCTGCAGAAACTGACGGTTCCCTGCCCACCTGGGGACCGGGCGGTCTCACTCAGGTCCCGGTCTTTCCTGCCCTCCTCTCTCCTGGATTGTTTCCTTACTGGGAGTGAGCTCTGAGCCTGGTACTCTGTCCCTGCATGACCTTGGCACATGACCCAGCATGCTTAGAGGGCAGTGGAGGAGCCAGGCAGATTCTCTACTCACTGCAGACTCTGGCCCAGACGTACCTGTGCAGCCAGGACCCTCCGTCAGGCTCTCCGAAACCCAGCGTGGCTCCTGGCTCCTGGGACATCGTGCATTTCTGCAGTTGCTCGTCCTGCCTTAGCTGAGCTCCTGGTCCCCATCCAGTTCACTTGGGTGGAAGGAAGCCAGGCATGTAGGTCCAGTTCCTGGCCTGTGGGATAACACAGGGAAGGAAGCTGGAAGCTTCCTCATTTCTCCCCAGGTCCTTTAAGGAGCCCCAGCTGGGCCTGTCCTGTATCCCCTCCCGGCAAGGCAGGAGGTCCCAGCCTTGATGACTGTACATCTGGGTGTCATACCTACAGTGTGACTGCTCCCCTGAGGGTGGGGGCGGGCGCTGGGGTCCTGGTTGAGCAGGGTTGAGCCGGCCCAGGCTGTGCCCCCTTCTTGGGACCTCAGCACCTGAGTGCTGGATGAGGTCTAGGAATCAGGGAGCTCCTGTGTCTTCAGTGATGCTGGCTGGGGTCTGCCAAGCTACATTCTTGCCTTATATCATAGTGGAACAGGGAGGAGCTTTGCTTGGGGTTGTGGCACCCATCCCATGACCTTCGGCCATCTCGAGCCTCCAGAATTCATCTGCCTCATGGTGGCCAGTATGGATTAAGTACATTGAGCCCAGACAGTGGGCAGGTGCCGGCTTTTGGTAGTTCTCCACAGCTCCCCCCAGGTCACGGCCATCTGCATCAGCCCCACCCGAGTCCCGGGTGCCCAAGTTCCTTTCCCCCCTCCACCGGACTGGTGAGCACAAGAGCAAGTCGTTTGCCTTCCCTGGGCCATCTCCTTTGCATTCCGAGGGACAGGAGCTCAGAAGTGAAGAGCACTTCTCACCCTGGGGCTGGCAGGTCGGCCAGGTGATCTGGTGCTCTGGAGGCAGAACAGCCATGGGTGGTTGTGCAGGCTGTGCACTGCACAGAGGCTTCCGGCTGAAGCCATCGAGACCACCTGCTGAGCCCTGGGCCCCAGCACACGCTGCTTCTGCTCAAGGAAGGTGGCCCTTTTTCTCATTCTTACAGAGGCACCTGCTGTTGGGGAAAGGGGCCAGACTGAGTCCCCGTGCCTCTTCCCCCCCAGGTGTTGTGAGTGCAGTGCCCCCCTTTCACACCAGTACTATGAGAAGGATGGGCAGCTCTTCTGCAAGAGAGACTACTGGGCCCGCTATGGAGAGTCCTGCCACGGGTGCTCAGAGCACATCACCAAGGGACTGGTCATGGTAAGCACCCCGCCCCACTCACACCCTGCACCTGGTGCCAGCACGTGTGTGTCCTCACGGGTGCCCCTAGCCCAGTGCTCTCTGGTTCTCCTTTTCGCTGGCTCGGACTCTGCCCCCTACCCGCTGGCCCGCTGAGCCCCTTGGTCTGTCTGTGCGTCTCTGGAACCAGCATCCTAGAGCCAGCCAGCCAGCCGGGCCCCCAAAGTTGGCTTGGGGCTGCCCTTCCGAGGGGAGGAGCCGGAGGAGTGGAAGGGGCTGCTGAGCTGGGTTGTCTCCGCCACCCCCTGCCAGGTGGCCGGGGAGCTGAAATACCACCCCGAGTGCTTCATCTGCCTCACGTGCGGGACCTTCATCGGTGACGGGGACACCTACACGCTCGTGGAGCACTCCAAGCTGTACTGGTGAGTGCCCAGGCCCCCTCCAAGCCCGGGGTGCCCGCCCCGTTCCGAGCCTCCCGCGCCAGCATCCTTTCCCTCCCCGCGTGGGTCAGGTGTGAGGACAAGTTAGGTGTAGGAGTCACCAAGAGGACACAGGAGTCACAGCGAGAACGCGCCCCCCCCCCCCAGACACCCGCTCTCCCACGTCACGGGGGTGCAGTTCTGGTATGCACCCCACAAGCTCGGCCCGGTCCGCAACTGGCCCCGAGTTCAGGGTTTTGATCAAGGCTGCAGATCCCCCTGTATGAGGACCAGCCAGCAGAAGTGAGGCAAAGAGCAGAGTCGGGGGGGTCCCCAAATGCGGAGTTTCCATGCGTTCCCCCCCCACCTCGGAATCAGGACATGTGACGCCCCCACCTGCCTTGACATCACCAGAGTTTTTATTGGGGTCTCATGATGTAGGCACCATTGGTTGAGTCACTGGGCACGTGATTGAGCTTTACTCTTCCACTGCCCACCCTCGCTGCCACCTCCAAGGTCGGGCTGGGTCACGGCCCCCCCACCCACCATCTAGTCACGTGGTTGGTTTTTTCCTGGTGACTGCCCCCCACCCTGAGTCATCTGTTAACACAAGTTTAGGTATGGGCTGAGAGACACTTATATTCCAAAGATTCAGAGCCTCTTTCCCAGGAACCAGGACAGAGACCAGACCAATTCTTTATTCGATGGTGCTGATCAAGCTGGATTCCCTGGGCAGCATGGCTTAGTCCCAAATGGGCTTTTAATGACTTCCTCCTGAACTGGATTTATCCCCCAGCCTTTTCCTGGCCAGCTCACAAGCATAACAGCAGTAGACGAGCCCAGAATGACCGAGGGGGGCAGGGGCTGGGCTGGACATGCTCAGTTCCTGCTCTGGGCCTATGGGGCAGTTACGACCCTCCGGCCCCTCCTGCTCTGGGGAGCCGGAGGTGGGGAGGAGAGAAGAGCCTGGGGCGGAGAGATGGGGGCAGCAGTGATGCTGGTAGCTGTCCTCAAACCCTTTTCTTCCCCCTCCTTGGGTCCCTGACATCCATGGCCCTTGCAGTGGGCACTGCTACTACCAGACCGTGGTGACCCCCGTCATCGAGCAGATCCTGCCCGACTCCCCCGGCTCCCGCCTGCCCCACACAGTTACCCTCGTATCCATCCCAGCCTCGGCTCATGGCAAACGTGGCCTCTCAGTCTCCATCGACCCCCCCCACGGCCCGCCAGGCTGCAGCACGGAGCACTCCCACACCGTCCGGGTCCAGGGGTGAGTCTGGCTATGCCCATGGGTGCTCTGGGTGGAGGGGGGCGGGCTCTAGGGCTGGGCAAGCATTTGGGCACACAGAGAACCCAGCTCTGACAACCTGGTATGCCACATCCTTGGTCCACTCATTCCTTTAAAAACCATGACCAGTGTTAGATAAAATATTTAAAACTTCTTTAGTCCGTGTGTCACCCAACAAGAAAGGGGAGTAACCAAGTCAAGGATAATTGATGCAGGGAGTCCAGGACAGATGGCAGAACCACGGAAGACAGCCATGCCCTGAGGCCCAATTGAAATTGAGGCAACTTAAGCTTCAGTTTTTAAGTCCTTTCATGGCTGGGCCTCTGGAAGCCCTGACCGGCTCCAGAAAGCCAGTCCTATTAGAGAACTCTTCCTTCATTAGGCTGAGATCCCAGAGGGCTCTCCGGGTAAGGATGAATGAGAGACAGACCACACCTTCCATCAGTCCCCCACTCCCAGAACCGAAACATAAACTGTTTGGAGCCTGAATGGAAGGGGAGGGGAAAGTCTCCCAGAATTCATGAACTTGGGTTTGCAAACCAAATTCATAGGCCTGGATGGCTCAGAAACTCCCAAGTCACAACGGTACAAGTTTCAGGTGCTTCCCCGCTAGCAGTGTTCCCAGTCCCTGACAGAATCAGATGCAGGTCCTGTCACTGAGTTTACTGAGCTAAGTGTCCCAAGGAAGGTGAGCAGATCCGCGAAAAATCACTGAACGCATAGGGAGGCTGGGCCGTGTAAGGAAGAGCCAGCCGAAACAACAGAAAGGAGAACCAGACCTACAGAACCTCCAGGGACCGGGGCGATTGGACACAATACAAGATCATTACGTTCCATGTGCTGTAATCAGTAAGAGATATTTGGAAGAAATGAGCAAAGAGCAAATAAATTCCAAGTAAATGGAAAAGAATCAAACAGAACCCCTAGGAACGAACTAACGGAAACCTCAATGCAAGGTTTAACGGTGGGGTAGGGCTTTAAGCTACTGAAGGGAGGGGCAGAGACCAAAAGGATGAAAGCTATGAAAGAGAGGTTAGGACCCGTGGAGGACAGAGGTTAGGACATAGGGAAGCCATTTGGTGTTCCAGGAGAAGCACGAGACGGGGGGAGGGAGGTGGTGTTTGAAGATACAGTGGCTGAGAACATCCTAGAACTGTACCGATCCACAAACCTCCAGCCCAGTAAATCCCAAGCAGAACAAAAAGAAATCCAGCCGTGGGTCGCCCCATCCAGTGGAACTACTGCGCCTGAGGTGAAAGAGAAGTCCTTAAAAGTGGCCGCAGAGCCTGGGTGGCTCAGTTGGTTGAGCGTCTGAGTCTGGATTTCCACTCAGGTCATGATTTCAGGGTCGTGAGACGGAGCCCCGCGGCGGGCTCCATGCTGAATGCGGAGGCTTCCTGGAATTCTCTCCCTCCCTCTCCCCCTGCTCACAAGCACCCTCTCTCTCAAAAAACATAAAAATAAAAAATGTCGCCATAGAAAATAGACATTTTCGAATAGGGGCAGCTGATTTCTCAACAGAAACCGGGGAAGCTGGAAAGAAGCAGAATGATGTGTTCAGTGCCCTGAGCCAAAAATAACCATCAGCCTAAGATTCTGTCCTTGGTGAAAGTACTCTTCAAGAAGGGGGGAGAAAAAAAACGTGTTCAGGCCGACAGGATTCAGGGAACCAAGATCAGCGATGAGCAGGTCGTCCCTAACCAGAGTTCTAAAGGATGTGGAAAAGGTGTGAAACACAAGAAGGCAGATAAAGGAGCCAGCACGCTGTGTGGCGCCAAGCAGCCCCCTGCCCTCTCTGGGCTTTGTACAGAGAGGCAGTTGGACACCTTGGAGCCTTCTAAGATGTCTCCTGGGCGTTGTTGGACTCCTTGAGAAGTAACTAGTGGGCCTGGGAGCCAAGTGCCAGCTTCTGTGGGATCCAGTGGCACCACCGTGAGGCATGGGTCAGGAGGGGGTAGGCGCCGGGGGCAGGATGCGTCCAGTCTTGACCTTGCCTCTGCCCCTCTCTCCCCACCGCGCCCTGTGAGCGCCAGCCAGGCCAGCAGCTGCCTCGTCTCCAGCAGCGGGCAGACAGACTGGTGAGAGAGCTGGGGGAACTCCCAGACCAGCTGGTCTCTGGAAGCCAGGCAGGATTTTAGAAACAGAAAGCCAAGGAACAGCACTCCTCCTGCCTCCCTCTCGCCGGCGGAGCCTCCACCAGCCCGCAGCTGCTCTCCAGGCAGTTTCGGCCCAGACCACCACGCCCCTCGGAGGAGCCGCCCTGCCGGCCCAGAGGCTGCTGACCGGATTTACTTGTTTGTTTTAAGCCGGCCCCTGTGGACCACTTGGCTTTTTGTCGATCTCGGCATCGGAAGGAAAGTTTCCTGCATCTGTGCCCCAGCCCCCTGCCGCCGTAGCAGGAGATCAAGGGGAGGCTGAGAGATACACTTCGAAGACCGCGCCCACGAGAAGACTGTATCGATGAAATAGACTCACTTCCGAGTTTTTATCTGGAAATTTTCAAATTTACAGGATGTTCACTAATGTAACTTTTTGGCGGGAGGCACATTTAGGGTATGCGTTTCTTTCTACATATGTGTATGTGTACATTGGAATGATTTATATTTACACGTACACATATGTACACGTTAATGTTATTTACTAAGTGGCTCGGGATTCCGTTCCAAGCTCTGTTGGCCCTTCTGCCTCCACCAGACACCTGACATTGTTCTGCAAACAAGGGCGCTCTCCTGCCCAATTACTGATCGTGTCTCATCGCACAGTTACGACGCTGAAGAAATTGAGCACCGACGGGATACTTCGATCCACTGGACAGTCCACGTTCACATTTTTCCAGTTTTCTCAACACCACCCTTAGGGCCGCTTCCCTCCACCCAGCCTGCAGCCCAAGACCATACGTGGCATGGAAAACCCGCGTGTCCCCTTCTGTCTCTGAATCCGTGACAGTCCTCAGCTTTTCGTCGTCCTCCACTAGCTGGACATTTACGAAGAGGGCGGGCCAGCGGTTAAGCAGAAATCCCTCTGTCTGGGTCTGGTTGCCCTGCTCTGACCACTTCGTCAGACTCAGGTTATGGGTTTTGACCTGATGCAGCGTCGTGATGCCGTGTCCTTCCTGCGGCCGCCGACCAGACCCACAAAGTCAATAAAGCCCGCCGTTGATTACTCAGTCAGAAGTACAGTCCTCCATCTGCTATCCAGGATATTTTTTTCCCCTTTGAAACATAATCAATAAGTCATTTGTGAGATTTGCGTCTGTAAACCTCCTGCCCCCAGCAGCCTTTCCCCAGATGGTCTGGGCACCCGTGAAGGCTTCTTGGCTGTCTTGCTTACTCCTACAATGGCTACACCATGGTGGGTCCTTAAGTCTCTTCTTCCTCTCGCACGAATGACCTGGCTTTCCAGGGTAAGGGAGAGCTTCTCCCCCGTGTGAGACTATACTCTTGATGATGGAGAATTTTTATGAACCTTTTTCTTTTTTTTTTTCTTTTCCTTTCTTTTTTGAGAGAGCAAGCACATATGCACACACGCGCACACACGCACGCACGAGAAGGGGGCAGGGGCCGAGGAGGGGAGTGAATCCCAAGTGGGCTCCATGCTCAGCACGGAGCCGACTCAGGACTCGATCTCACGACCCTGAGATGATCCGTGACCTGTGCAGAAACCGAGTCAGATGCTTAACCAAGTGCTCCACCCAGCAGCCCCCTTATGAACCTTTTCTCCTAAAGCCCCCGGTCTCCTTTCCATCCCACTCCCTAACCCTTCCCCATCTCAGGGCAAAGTGACAAAGTGAACATCCCTTAAAAAAGCTTGCGTGAAGACAAAATGAAAACAAGCTAGCCAAGGGGTTCAGAGAAGCAGATAAATTTGGCAAACTGGCCGTTCCACAGGTCCAAGCGTGGGTGCCGTCCTGCCTCCAGCCCGCGGCTGTGGCTCAGGGTGGGCTCCCGGCCCCTCCCTCTGAGTCTGCGGGAGGAGAAGCCTCTGCTTCATCTCGAGGGGCCGGTTTGGGACTCAGGAAGCCGATGGTTCCAGACCCGCAGGGGACTCCTCCTGGGGCACTCATCTGCCTGAAACACACCAGGCAGTTGGAAGGATTGGTCTGAGCCTCCAGGACTAGAGCAGCAAATCCCACTTCCCTCCACTTTCACAGCCACAGCCGACATCTGTCGTCAGTGACAGAATTCTTCCCAACAAACCAGAACTGCCGATCTAGACCACTGCCATCGGTCAGGCATGCCAGAGAGAAAATCACTTCCTCCTCACCCCGATCTGATCCCCTTGCCCTTGGTTTTCCGTCAGGGCTCCGGGGGACAGGTAGGCAGGGGTCTGACCACTCCTCTGTCTACCCCCAGGGTGGACCCAGGCTGCATGAGCCCAGACGTAAAGAATTCCATCCACGTTGGAGACCGGATCCTGGAAATCAATGGCACACCCATCCGGAATGTGCCCCTGGATGAGGTACGGGTCCCGGGTCCCGTGAGCAGGGTCGGGGCTCCTCCCCCGCCTCGGACTCACACGTCTGCACACCCGCTCTCCCCAGATTGACCTGCTGATCCAGGAAACCAGCCGTCTGCTGCAGCTAACCCTCGAGCACGACCCCCACGACACACTGGGCCATGGGCCAGGGCCTGAGCCCAGCCCCCTGAGCTCCCCAACTCACACTCCCAGTGGGGAGGTGGGCAGCTCTACACGGCAGAAGCCTGTCCTGTAAGTCAGCCCCGTGCCTTGTAACCAGAAACCGGGACTCAGGGGGTGGAGCCTGGTCCCTGCTCTCGAGGCTCCCCTAGTCTGGTGGCCGAGTCAGCCTTGCAGAAAAGCAGGCCAGTGGGGGGTTGCAGAGGGCTAAGACTGGAGAAGGGTCATGAGAGGTGGGAGAGGGGTACAGCTGCTCCAGCTGGGGGTTACGGAGCGCTCCGGGGGGGACCAGCACCCTGGCTTCAGGGAAGATACACAGGTAGCTCAAGACGATGGGAGCATCGAATGTCTTTGGGGAGGGGTGGGCCCCCTGAAGGGTATGTTCCAGAGATCGCGCTGGTTCCCTGTGCACCAGGGTGCCCGAGCCCAGAGATGGCTCACGGGCCATTGCAGGGGCCCAGGCAGGAGGTGCCAGGAGCCCCAAACTCTCTCGAAGGGAGGGGGAGCACGAGGAAGAAACCCAAAAGCAGCCTGGGTCCTCACAGCGCTCACCGTGAGGCCTGCTCAGGACTCTGGGCAAAGATTTTTGGGGGAGGGACACCTCCTAGGGAAATCGCATTTACTCTGAGACATGGTGGTGTTGAAGGCCTGTGGTACCTGCTTGTCTGCGTTTGTCTGGAGTTCTAGCTGGCCCGTGGAGCTGCTCACACAGTGGGGCTACAGCACCCGGCCAGGCTATCTGGCTCCACACCCCAGGGCCTGGAGCCCGAATGCTGGGAGATGAAGCCCCTGACCTCGGGTCCCCAGGCAGAGAAGGCCAAGGGCAGACGGTGCTGCGGAGGCACCTGCAGGATAGCAGCCCTAGGACAGGGCCCTGGGTGCTGGCGTCAGGATGGGGCGAGGGCCATACAACCACCCAGGGGAGCCGCCCCATGCCACGCTCTCCTGCGCTGGGGTGGGGGTGCCGACTGCGTGCACTGGCGTGGATGGGAGCGTGGCAGGCAGGAGGGGTTGGGCCTGAGGCCTGTTGCCCACGTGCCCCGGGGACACTGAGCCCCACGTATGCCTTGCCAGGAGGAGCTACAGCATCGACAGGTCTCCCGGAGCCGGCTCCCTGAGCTCCCCGGCCTCCCAGCGCAAGGACCTGGGGCGCTCCGAGTCCCTGCGCGTGGTCTGCCGGCCACACCGCATCTTCCGGCCGTCGGACCTCATCCACGGGGAGGTGCTGGGCAAGGGCTGCTTTGGCCAGGCCATCAAGGTACGGGGTGCACCTGTGCAGGGATGGGGGGGCAGTCCCAGTGAGAACCTGTCTGTCCTCCTGCCTCCCTCCACTGCCTCCAGGAACACACAGTGGAAGAGGCACCCAGCTTCCAGACTCCCTGGCCCGTACTCTCATCTGGCCGGGCTTTCCTGAGCTGGTTAGCAGGAGGGGACCCACTTCAGGGAGACCCAGAACTTTATGTGGAGGACGTGGTTGGAAGGTGGGGGGTGGGATCCAGAAGGGGTCCTCCCCGGGGCCTTGCACTGAGCCTGAGGCCAACCCCTTATGGGTCGTACACTGCTTACCCTCTCCCACGCTCCCTTGGTAGAGACCCAAGCCCTTCCCTGGCTCCGGTGTCCCCTGGTTCTGACCAGGCTGGAAGGTTCAGGATCATGCAAAAGGTGCCCTGTGCCTGGTCCCCATCCCAGGGGATGGGAGTCCCTGGTAAAGCCGCCAGTCGACCTCCCAGCGGAGCAGGGGAAAGAGGACTGGGCTCTGGGTCTCGCGGTGCTGGACCTGAACCCCAGCCACCCGCTTTCCCTCCTGCTGGGTGACCTCGGGCTATCAGGAAGCCTCATCTGTGAGGCGGTCAATAAGTCCCGCCTCTCGGGGGTTGGGGACATCCCCTGAAATACCCATGAAGCTTCAAGCCGGGTGTGTCCATCTCCCTTACAGTTTTGGGGAGCAGCTGGGCCTCCTGAAAGGCAGGCAGAGAGCAGAGCCTCTGTCCGTGCTGAGTCTCCATGCCTCGGTGTCCCCGCACAGGTGACGCACCGGGAGACGGGCGAGGTGATGGTGATGAAGGAGCTGATCCGATTCGACGAAGAGACCCAGAGAACATTCCTCAAGGAGGTCAGCAAGTGGACCCCCCCCTTCCCCAGACTTCTCCGTCGAGGGGGCGGCATGGGGTTCCGGGAGGATGGGACGCTCGAGCCACACGCTGGAAGAAGAGAAAGTGTCTCGCCGGGAGAGCGAGGCGGGCAAGGGCATCGCTGGGGGGGTGGGCGCGGCCCTCGCAGACCTCACAGGGGCCAGACGGGTGGGGACTCTTCCACCTCCGGGACCAGTGGGGGCCTCTGGCGGGGCAGCGGGGGGAGAGTGACTGGGGCAGAGCCCCAGGCCTAGCCTGTCTGCCCCCCCCCCACCAGGTGAAGGTCATGAGATGCCTGGAGCACCCCAATGTGCTCAAGTTCATCGGGGTGCTCTATAAGGACAAGAGGCTCAACTTCATCACCGAGTACATTAAGGGGGGCACCCTCCGGGGCATCATCAAGAGCATGGTGAGCATCGAGATCCCGCCCACTGCCCGCCCCACCCCCACCACCAGCACTGCGGACCCTGGGCGAGCAGCTGCTCTCTGGGCCCCCCCCAGCCCCTTCAGTGGGGTTCGCCTTCGGCCTCCGAACCCTAATTCTGAATCAGGGAGACGGGGAGCCCCCCACTCCCACCTAAAGCGGAGGTCCAGAGCAGGCAGCAGCTCCTCTGAGCGGACACAAGGGCTGTTTTGGGGTGGCCACCCTGTGGACCCCCGGCCTGACCCCGCCCAGGCCCAGGGCAGCCGGACCCAGCCTTACCTGTCTGGGCTGGGGGGCGGAACCCCTCAGGAGAGGCACCTTTGTGCTGTCCCCATGGGGGGCTTTTTTACTATTTACTATGTTCTGTGAAATTCGGAACTTTCTTTAAGGGCTTGGAGAGAAATTGCAAATCCAAACTGAAAACAGATTTGGGGAGGAGCCGGTAGCATCCCGGTGCTCGCGGATGGCACCCTGCCTTGGAGTCCCATCCCCCCCCCCCCCCCCCCGAGACCGAGCGGTCCTGCTCCCCGGATGCCTCCCTCCCTCAGGCTGGGTCCCTGCAGGCCCCTAACAGGTGCACCTTCCCGGAAAGGATGCTCTGGTCAAGTTCAGTTTGGAAATGCCGAGCTACACTCTCTGGGGCTTCCTCACTGCGCGCCTGTCTTTGATATGCTCCGATGTCCTCACCCCCCAACTCGAGGTCCCCAGCGTGGTGGGGGGGGAGAACGAAGCATTTCACTGGAGGATCTGATCCCAGAGCCCTGCTCGCTGGTGCCCTGTAGGCACTCTCGTTGGGCGCGTTTGTCTGCCCTTACAGGAAAGCAGGTTCGGATTTTCTAAAAACCTGAAAGAACAGGATTGTGTTGAAGATAGAAGATGGTGTTTTTTTTTTTTTTTCCCTCCAAAGAGCTGGGTCGGAAGTCATAGAGGAGTATCCCCCCACTTTGTGTTTGAAATCCCATAGTGGAGAATGATGTGAGTTTTTTTGTTGTTGGTTTTTGGGTTTTTTTTAAGATTTTATTTATTTATTTGACAGAGATCACAAGTAGGCAGGGAGGCAGGCAGAGAGAGGAAAACAGGCTCCCCGCTGAGCAGAGAGCCCAATGCGGGGCTCAATCCCAGGACCCCGAGATCATGACCTGAGCTGAAAGCAGAGGCTTAACCCACTGAGCCGCCCAGGCGCCCCGAGAATGATGTTTATGAGTTATGCGGACAGACGTGGGTGCGAGAGAGAGTGGGAGGGGGGTGGTCACTGGACTCGCCGGGACGCTCGCTGCCCTGGCTGATCTCTCTCACCCGACCGTCCCGCTGCCGTGGCCCCGTTGTCCCATCCTGGCCCTTCTCCCCCCACAGGACAGCCAGTACCCGTGGAGTCAGAGGGTGAGCTTTGCCAAGGACATCGCTTCAGGGATGGTGAGTAGGCTCGGGGGTTGTGGGCTGGGTGAGCTAACCCCACTTGTACCAAGACTCTGTCCCACTAACCTAACTCTTTACTGGAAAGTCAGAGGCGGAAGCTGTCAGAAAGCTCTGAGAGCGAGCAGAGGGCATCAGCGGGGGGGTGGGAGGAGCACCCCTCCCTCGTCCAAATGGGGTGAGCCTCTGGGGAGCCAGGGCCGGGCTGGGGCTGGGCTCCCTGGGCACAGCGGCCCCCTGACCTCCGTGCCCCCTGCCCCCAGGCCTACCTTCACTCCATGAATATCATCCACCGGGACCTCAACTCCCACAACTGCCTGGTCCGAGAGGTGAGCAGCCTGGGCCCGGGGAGGGAGACCCCGCCCCGCACACTCCTGGCCCCCGGGGGCCTTGCAGGGACAGGGATCCTGGCTTGCCTTCTCCACTCCTCCTCTGGCTCATGGGGAAGCAGTGCCAGACCCGGTGCTGACCGTGGCTCCCAGTTGTTGGGAGGCTCTGATAAACGGATAAAGGAGAGAGTGATGGGTAACCCGTGACGGCTCGTGAGCGTGGCCAAAACAGCCCACGGCACAGCGGCTGGGCCTGTGGCACGCAGCACTTAACAACCCCGGATCTGGAGGGAGGCCTGGGCGTATGGGTGGGCGTGGTCAAGGCCGGCTTCCGAGAGGCTGGGGGGGGGGGGCCACACACTGAAGTCGGGAAGTGGGGTTGCGGAGGGGCTGCGAGCCCAGGGTCTGAGGGGTGGGGATGGAGGGGACCATAGGCAGTGGGGTTGACCGACCATGCCCAGCTGGAGACGGGGCTCACTCGTTTCCTGGGGCTGCCATCCCAGAGAACCACAGCCTGGATGTGGCCAAAACGCACTCGCAGGGTTCGGGAAGCAAGAAGTCCCAAACCCAGGTGCTGACAGGGTTGGCTCCTCCTGGAGACGCTGGGGGAGGATCTGTCCCGTGCTTCTCTCCCGGCTCCAGAGGCTGCTGGCACTCCTTGGCGCTCCTTGGCCGGCAGCCACATCATTCCAGCTTCTTCCAGAGACTGACTTCCCACGGTGTGTCCTCTTCTTACAAAGACAGCAGGCCCTAGATTTAGGGATCCCTCCCCCCGATCTAGTATAATCTCATCTGAACTGGTAGCGTCTGCAGAAGTCCCGTGTCCAAACACAGTCGCTCTGAGCTTCTAAGGGGACATAAATTTGGAGAAGGAAACTCTTCATCCCACTAGGCAGGTTGAGATCCTGGCCTGGAAGAGGCCGTGTCTCCAGACAGGTGTTTGCCGAATGAACTCAGTACAAGAAGGGTTTCAGCCCCGGCAGTATGACGTTCGGGAAGCAATGAGCTGGTCGCTGTAGAGTCCGCGCGGTTGGGGGGCAGGGGTGGGTGTCCCAGCGCACTGGGAATCTCCTGGAGGCTCTGGGGCCACCTGGGCTCGGAAAGCAGCAGAAAGCAGTGGGCCGTGAGCACCGAGGTGGGCCGTGAGCACCGAGGTGGGCGGGGCTGGATCCACGGGGCTCACGCTGCCCCTGCTGGTGATGAGCGTCACTGCAGGGCCGAGCCCCTGTGGCGTGCAGGGCCTGGAGAGGGTGACCCGTCACAGCCTCCACCCGCAGCAGGGGGCATCCCTTGAGGATCTGATGCGAGTGTGAGCCCCCCAGCCGCCATCCCCAGAATCCGTCTCTGCACAAAGCAGAACTTCTGCCCACCATCTGGGGCCTCTGAAAATCCGCCGGTCACCCTTGGCTGGTTTCCCTAGAGCTGTTTCCCGTTGCAGATCTGGGTGGCTGTTGTATCATTAGTCCCTGGGGGGCCCCTCAAAAGTGGAGCCCTGCACAGAGGGATGGGGCTGGAAGCAGCCCTTGAACGATCCTGGCGGACCCTGCCCCTGCTCAGCCCCTCCCTTTTCCTGCTGTCCTTGTACAGTGTCCTCTAGACAGCTGTCCACATTGGTGTCACTCCTAGAGGCGACACAGAGCCCTTCTCTTAAGAGTTAGCCTGGTCCTGGGGCGCCTGGGTGGCTCAGTGGGTTAAAGCCTCTGCCTTCCGCTCAGGTCATGATCTCAGGGTCCTGGGGTCGAGCCCCCGCATCGCGCTCTCTGCTCAGCGGGGAGCCTGCTTCCCCCTCTCTCTCTGCCTGCCTCTCTGCCTGCTTGTGATCTCTCTCTCTGTCAAATAAATAAAATCTTAAAAAAAAAAAAAAAAAGTGTTAGCCTGGTCCTAAGCACCCCCTGGCCGGGGCCCTGTGGCCACCCACTCTGGGCCCAGTCCTCAGCGTCCAGACACCATGGCCAATCCTGGCGCTGGCACGGAGGATCCGTTAGAGGACCTCCCCAGACCCCTGACTTGTCACCGGTGCCCTGGGGTGCCCCCCCAGCCCTTCAGGGGGCCCCCTCCCTGATTTTCCTTTTTTTTTTTTTTTTTTTTTAAGATTTTATTTATTTGACAGATCACAAGCAGGTAGAGAGGCAGGTGGTGGGGACGGGGGGCGCGGAGAAGGCTCCCCACTGAGTAGGGAGCCCAATGCGGGACTCAGTCCCAGGACCCTGGGATCATGACCTGAGCCGAAGGCAGACGCCCAGCAATTGAGCCACCCAGGCGCCCCCTGATTTTCCATCCCGAGGAGTAGACACAGCAGTCAGCATCTCCACTCCGCAGGGTTCCAGGCCTACAGGGGCTCCTGCAGACCGAAACAGTGGAGCTGACTAGCTGGATGGCCTCGGGCAGCTTTCTTAACCTCTCTGGGCCTGAGTAATAGTCTGTGTGAAGTGGGTGTGAAAATAACCTCCCCAGATTGCTGGAGGGAGGAGTAAGAGACAGAGCTGTCCCGGGCAGAGCAGAGGACCTGGGTCTTGAAGAGGAGCCACCACCTTCCCCACACAGCCAGGCGGCCCTGGCGCCCTGATGGGACGGGCACGGTTCTCCCAGGCCCCCAGGAGTCCGAGGCATCTCCTCGGAGCCGGCTGCAGACTGGTCCCAACCGGGCACGGGGTGGGCTGGTGGTGCTGGGAGCCTTCCCAGCGTGGCTCTGCTTCCTCGTCACCCTAGAACAAGAACGTGGTGGTGGCTGACTTCGGGCTGGCCCGGCTCATGGTGGAAGAGAAGACGCAGCCCGCGGACCTGCGAAGCCTCAAGAAGCCAGACCGTAAGAAGCGATACACGGTGGTGGGTAACCCGTACTGGATGGCGCCGGAGATGATCAACGGTGAGTGGGCGGCCCCACAGTCCCCGGCCTCCACTTCCTCCCCTCGGCTCTCTACTCGCCTCCCGTGACCCGTTCCCTGTCCCACTGTAACAGATCGCCCCCCCCCCTGCGTGGCTTGGAAACCAAGTTACCATCTAGTCCTGAGAGTAGGAAGTCAGCGTGGGTCTCAGGTGTCAGCTGGGCCGGGTTCCTTCTGGAGGCTCCAGGGGAGAACCCCTTTCCCTTCTGGCCTCTACAGGCCGCCTCCGTCCCTTGGCCCGAGAGGCCCCTTCTCCGACAAAGGCTAGGACCCTGGCCCCTTCTCTGACCTCTGTGTCCGTTGTCAGGTCTCCTTCCGTGCCTGTGTCCCTCGTAAGGATCTTTGTGGTTGTACCGTCCTCTGTCCACGTCCAGATCCTGAACTTAATCAAACCAGCATATCCCATGCAAGGGGACATCTCCACAGGGCCCAGGGAGTAGGTGCTGGGGCCCCTCTCCTACTCCATTTCTTTTTGGTCAGGCCCGTCACCCAGTGCCCCACGTGTGGCCACACGGCATGCTTTAAAGCCCCCGCCCGGGCAGGTGCACACATGGGGTTGGGGTGGCCAGGGACGGGGCCTCTCGGCACCAGCACCGCCCATATCCCAGCCCGCTGACAACCTGCAAGACGGGGCTCGCTCCCTACTTTTAAGGGGGTCTGTGAGCACCCACTGAGGAGCTGAGGCTTGTAAACTAGTGAGAATCGGACACGTGGGAGCAGCCATACGGATCGTTAACATCACATGGTAGACAGTCGCACTCCCCACATCACAGCTGAAGAACCCAAGCCTCAGAGAGCCTGTGCCCATCCCTGGGGCTGCCGTCAACAGAATTCCACTAGCTGGGCGGCTTAAAACAACAGAAATGAATGCTCTCATAGTTCTGGAAGCCCAAAGTCGGAAATCCAGGAGAGCCGTGGGCCCTCCAGGGATCTGAGGGGAGAACCCACTCCCGGCTGCCGGGGGCTGTCTCGGGCTTGTGGCCCCCGCTGCCTCTCCTGTTTCCTCTTCTTCCTAAGACCCTCATAACGGTGCTTAGAGCCCACCCAGATAATCCAGGATTCTCTCATTTCCAGGTCCTTAGCAATCATATGGTCAAAGACCTTTTTTCTAATAGAGCAGGGGTCACCCGTCCCAGGGTGTGACATGGATATATTTCAAGGCCACCACATGGTCCATGACTTGCCTAAAGTCACAGCTGGTCAGTGGTCAAGCTGGGTCTGGAACCCTCTGTCCAGGGCTCTCATTCTCATCCCCCAAAGGTTTGCTCAGACCTGGTAGGGTCGGGGAGGTAAGGGGGCAGAGCCTAAGCCCTGGTCCCGTGGACGCCACTAGTGTCTGCCTCCTGGCCCTGGCCGCCCGGTCCCTGTGCCAGCCTCACCTGCTGATAGCCGGTCTCTCCACCCAGGCCGCAGCTACGACGAGAAGGTGGACGTGTTTTCCTTTGGAATTGTTCTGTGCGAGGTAGGTCCAGGGGTGGGTGGCAGTTGGCTTCGGGCTTGGTGGCTCTGGTCCACCCCCGACACTCCTGGGCCGTGGGCTGGAAGTCTGCAGGGACCGCCCACAGCAGCCTGCACCCCTGGGGGAGTGTAGTGGCCTGGCACCTGCTCCCAGCCCCAGGGACACCCCGTCCCCCAAGCCCTCCACCACCCTGGGTAACTGCTGGGCCTTGCGCTGGACAGATCATTGGGCGGGTGAACGCGGACCCCGACTACCTGCCCCGCACCATGGACTTCGGCCTCAATGTGCGAGGCTTCCTGGACCGCTACTGCCCCCCGAACTGCCCGCCGAGCTTCTTCCCCATCACCGTGCGCTGCTGTGATCTGGACCCTGAGAAGAGGTCAGTGTAGCCTGGGCTCCCCCGGGAGCAGCCCTAGGGGTGGGCCCCGTCCCCTCCGGAGCAGAACCCAACACCCCACCCGCCTGCCCCCCAGGCCCTCCTTCGGGAAGCTGGAGCAGTGGCTGGAGACCCTCCACATGCACTTGGCCGGCCACCTGCCGTTGGGCCCGCAGCTGGAGCAGCTGGACAAGGGCTTCTGGGAGACCTACCGGCGAGGCGAGAGCGGACTGCCTGCGCACCCCGAGGTCCCCGACTGAGCCCGGCCCACCCAGCCGCCCCCATATCCCCACCGCCGGCACCGCACTCCTCTGCGGGTCCTGGCGGGGGGCAGAGCCCCCAGCTGGGCGGCAGGCACCCAGACTCCTCCCTGGCACCGGGCCCTGCCTTGCCTTCTCCTCCCCTGGGGCCGCGCCCGGAGCTGGCCTGGCTCCACACACAGTCACCTCGCCCTGCCTTACCTCCGCCCTTACCTCCGCCGTGGCGGGGCCGCCCCCTCGCTTCTCCTTGCATGAGCCGGAGGGCCTGCGTGAGTCCCGCCCCATCCTGCCCCCTTCCGCCCACCCCCGCAGCCGTCCTGTGCACCCCCACCCGTCTGCAGCGCCTCTGAGGCTGGACTGGTAGACGCCTCCGACCGCCCGGTACCGGCTAGGTAGGCAGGGGAGGGCATGGAGTGAGGGAGAGGCCGTGCTGCTGGGGTGTGTCGCCCCCGGGGGTGTCTCGTAGCTGGAGGTATCGATAATTACCAAACCCCCAGTGTCGCCCCCGGGGGTGTCTCGTAGCTGGAGGTATCGATTACCAAACCCCCAGACGCAGAGAGGTCTGTCCCTGCAGGATGGAAACCCCCGGTAGCTCAGCCGCAGGCCTCTCTTGGCTTTGGGTCTCTTCGTTTCTTTCTTGAAGCCACTTTAGTGAGAAGCAGGTACCAGGCCTCAGGGTGAAGGGAGGGTCCGCTGGGGCACAGGGGAGTCGGGGCCCCGGGTCAGAGCTGCTGGGCGGAGCCACAGAGGGACGCTGGGCGGAGCGGACGAGGCAGGTGTCCACCAGCATCCCCGCCGCCGCAGTTCATCTCAGTACCCCCGCTCCTCCCCAGGTGTCTCCCTCCCCCGCCGTGGCCCTCTGTCCTCTGGGTTCTTTCTGTGTAATCTATTTTTTAAGAAGAATTTGTATTATTTTTTCATACGGCCGTAGCAGCTGCTGTCCGGGGGGGCTTGGGGTTTTATTTTTCTGGCGGGCGGGGGTGGGGGAGCCATTTTGTCACTTCGCCTCAGTTGAGCATCTAGGAAGTATTAAAACTGTGAAGCCTTCTCAGTGCACTTTGAACCTGGAAAACAATGCAAACAGGCCCATGGCACTACGAGGCCAGGACGGGGGACACGTCCCCTCTGTCCGGGAACCGTGATGTCAAAGGAACACGCATCCAGATTCAGAACAATAAAATAAATTCCATACTCCCCACGCAGATTCCCCGTCGCCATGTGTGTCTGGGGCCCCGAGGAACCAGGAACGAGAGTGACGCTTTGTGACTAGAAGCCCCGTGGGAAGACCAGAGAGGAGGGCGGGTAGGGGCAGCCCGGCCACTCGGGAGCGGGGAGGACGAGATACCAGGGAATGTATTACTTTCACGGACTAAGAAATGTTCTTTCTACAACTTTAAGGGATCCAGTCAGGAAAGCACACCAGCTCTTTCCCATGTAGAGGCTTCGATAGAAGGCCTCGTTCACGCAGCAGCTGAAAGACCGTGGCAGGGTAAAAAGTGGATACTGGCATGACCCAGAGATGGGGGACTTCGGGAAGCTGCTGCCGTGGCCCTGGCAGGGGCATTTAGGAAAAGAAGGGGTTACTTTAGCTATCTGCTGTTGCTGTATCAAATCACCCCTTAAACTCGGCAGCTTAAAAGAATTTGGGAGCAGCTTGGGTGGGTGGTTTAGGCCTGGGGTCTCTCCTGAGGTTGTGCTCACATACTGTCTGGGCTGCAGCCCTCTAAGGACGTGATGGGAGCTGGAGGGTCCCCACCCAAGGACCCCTGTGGCTTCCTCACGTGGCGGCAAGCTGATGCCAGCTGCTGACCCAAGGCCTCGGTGCCCGTCAAGGCCTCTCCACAGGGCTCCTCGAGAATCCCAAGAGAGCCGAGGAGAAGCGGCACTGCCTTTTATGACCCAGTCTCAGAAGTCACAGCATTACTTCCACCATATTCCGCTGGTCACGTGGGCCACCCTGACTCTGTGTGGGAGCGGACTACACAAGGCCACCAATACCGTACCAGAAGGGATCAGTGGGGGTCTTGGAAGCTGGCTAGGACCTTGGAGGAAGGAACCCTGGGAGACCAGTGCTCGGATTTTTGGAGTTCTTTTGAGGGGCACCAGGGTGGCTCAGTCGGTTAAGCCATCTGCCTTCGGCTCGGGCTGGGATCCAGCCGGCGCATCAGGCTCCCTCCTCAGCAGGGAGTCTGCTTCTCCCTCTGTCCCTCCCCACTGCTTGTGTGCACGTGTGCTCTCTCTCTCTCTCTCTCTCTCTCTCAGAGAGAGCAGGGGAGGGGCAGAGGGAGGGAGAATCTTAAGCAGGCGCTACACTCAGCGTGGAGCCTAATGCGGGGCTCGATCTCACGACCCTGAGATCATGACCTGAGCCGAAATCAGCAGGCAGATGCTTAACCGACTGAGCCACCCAGGTGCCCCTGCAGTGCTTGGATCTTTGATGTGTGCTGGCTGGATTCGAAGCAGTTGCTGCTACTTCTAAGAAGGTGGGTGCAAAAACAGTCATTCCGGGGGCCGAAACCTGCCGAGGCTGACGAGCACGGGAGAGCTCAAGAAAGACCCTTCCCTTGTTTCACTTCCAGCTCTCCCCCAGCGGGCTCCTACTAGCAGGTGGACCTTAACAGGAAGCCAGCTGCCAGGGAAGCCTGGGAAATGTAGTTTTCCGCGGTCCAGCAACACCCTCACAGAGAATGGAGTGGGTCTGGGGCTGAAAGTAACCAGCACAGTCCACCCTTTGGCTGGCCGTCACCCGTACACTTCTTTCTACTGTACTGGATTTCCATAGGACTGACTCTAAAACCGTGCTTCCCCCTATCAGGGAGTGAGGATCCTTTGTGCACAGACACAATGTTCTCTTCCTAAAAGGGAGGGACAAACAGCACGCTGGAGTCACCATATCGTATCCACCCCTTGGATTCCCCTGGAGTGCCGTGTAACTTAAATCACGAAGTTCCCCATCTTCATCAATACGTTTACATCAGATAATGGAAGGGAGGGGCAGTTAGCTAGCTCATGGACACGCAAGCAACGAAGGAAATATCCAGAGCTGCAGTGGTCCTCACTAACAAAACCGGTTCTGATGTCATCATTGATTTTTTAACACTTAGAATGAGATGCAATTCACACGCAAGTCAACGACTTACAACGTAAAGTTGTTTCTGATGTCTTCACAGAGCTGTGCGACCATAACCACAGTTTGATTTTAGAACATTTTCATCACAGTCTTGATAGTGTCCTTTGATGCACAGAAATGTTAAATATTTTTTTAAAGATTTTATAATTTATTTATTTGACAGAGATCACAAGTAGGCAGAGAGGCAGACAGAGAGAGAGGAGGAAGCAGGCTCCCTGCGGAGCAAAGAGCCCGATGTGGGGCTCGATCCCAGGACCCTGGGATCATGACCTGAGCTGAAGGCAGAGGCTTTAACCCACTGAGCCACTCAGGCACCCCAGAAGTGTTAAATATTGATGAGATGGACGGATGGCTTAAAAGACACAATCAAAACTCACCAAAGAAGAAACAGCAAATGTGACCGCTCATTTATTTACCAAATGAACTGAATTTATAGTTCAGGACGCTCAGAAAAACAAAACTTCAGGCCCAAAGGGGTCATTGGCACATTTAAAGGAGGAAAGGCACCAAAACTACACAAGTTCTTCCAGAAAAGAGAAGGGAGCACTCTTGAATTCATCTTAGGAGCTCAGAATTGCCCTGACACCAAAATCAGATACAGTATAGGAAGAGAACAATTTCACACCAATATCATTCAGGAATAGAAAAAGCAAAAATCTTCAGCAAAGTATCAGCAAATAGAATCGAGAAATGTCTAAAAACAATATACTCCAACTTTATGCTCCCAGCTTTACGCTGGGAATATACTAGCAGTCCAGTATTCAAACAGTGCTTGGAAAAAACGCAGCCAGACACCACTTCACACTCACCAGGATGGCCATAATCTTTTAAAAGAAAGAAAATGAGTGTGGGAGAGGATGTGGAGAAACTGGAACCCATGCTGATGTGAATCTAAAACAACACAGCTAGGGGCACCTGGGTGGCTCAGTGGGTTAAAGCCTCTGCCTTCAGCTCAGGTCATGATCCTGGGGTCCTGGGATCGAGCCCCGCGTCGGGCTCTTCACTCAGTGGGGAGCCTGCTTCCTCCTCTCTTTCTGCCTGCCTCTCTGCCTACTTGTGATCTCGGTCTGTCAAATAAATAAATAAAGCCTTTAAAAAAAAAAAAAAACACAGCTGGGGCTCCTGGGTGGGGCTCAGTCGTTAAGCCTCTACCTTTGGCTCAGGTCATGATCCCAGAGTCCTGGGATCGAGCCCCGCATCAGGCTCCCTGCTCAGCGGGAAGCCTGCTTCTCCCTCTCCCACTCCTCCTGCTTATGTTCCCTCTCTCTTTGTGTCCCTCTCTGTCAAATAAAATCTTTTTAAAAAATAATATAAAATCCTTTTAAAAATAAGCAAAACTTAAAAAGATGCTTCACATCACTAGTCACAGGGATATGCAAATTAAAGCTGTAACACCTGTCAGAATGGCTAGCATCTTTGGAACTGACCACACCAAGCGTCCAGGTCTATATGAAGCAACTGGAACGCTCACATACTGGTAGCAAGAATGCCAGATAATGTGGTCACTCTGTGATCCCCCCCCAAAGTTAAACGCACACGTACCATGTACTTCCCATGCAACACTACAGTCCCATTCCTAGGGATTTACCCTAGAGAAATTAAAAGTCATGTCCACACACTCCCTGTAAGGACACGGACTTTTCTTTCTTTTTTTTTTTTTAAAGATTTTATTTACTTATTTGACAGAGAGAGAGAGTTCACAATTAGGCAGAGAGGCAGGGAGAGAGGTGGGGGGAAGCAGGCTCCCCGCCAAGCAGAGATCCCAATGCGGGGCTCAATCCCAGGACCCTGAGATCATGACCCGAGCCGAAGGCAGAGGCTTAACCCACTGAGCCACCCAGGTCCCCCGAGGACACAGACTTTTCTAAAAGCTCTGTTCATCATTGCCAAAATCTGGTAACAACCCAACTTCCCTTTCACAAGAAAACGGGCAGACTGTCCTGGGTGCGCGCAGGAACAGGGGTATATCTCAAAAGCACTGCGGTGAGTGGAAGAAGCCAGTCTCGAGAGAGCACAGACAGAGCGACTTCTCTTTATACAACTTTCTAGAGAAGACGATAGGGATGGAAATCAACAGGGGCCAGGGATGAAGGTGAAGCAAGGATTTGACTGCCACAGGCAGCAGGAGGAAGTTTTTTGAGGATGATTGAAGGGTTTTGCTTCCTAATTGTGGGGGTGGTTACATGAATCTAGATGTGTTAAAAACACAGAGCTGGGGGCGCCTGGCTGGCTCATTCAGTAGAGCATGTGATTCTTAATCTCAGGGTCTTGAGTTCGAGCCCCACGTTAGGAGTAGTTTACTTAAAAAAAAAAAAAAAAAAAAGAGGGGCGCCTGGGTGGCTCAGTGGGTTAAGCCTCTGCCTTCAGCTCGGGTCGTGATCTCGGGGTCCTGGGATCGAGTTCTGCATTGGACTCTCTGCTCAGCGGGGAGCCTGCTTCCTCCGTCTCTCTGCCTGCCTCTCTGCCTACTTGTGATCTCATGTGCTCTGTCAAATAAATAAATTAAAAAAAAAAAAAAAGAAAGAAACTACAGGGGCGCCTGGGTGGCTCGGTGGGTTAAGCCTCTGCCTTCGGCTCAAGTCATGATCCCAGGGTCCTGGGATCAAGCCCCACACCGAGCATCTCTGCTAAGTGGAAAGCCTCCTTCTCCCTCTCTGCCTGCCTCTCTGCCTACTTGTGATCTCTCTCTCTGTCAAATAAATAAAATCTTTAAAAAAAAACAAAAACTACATTGAGCTGTAAGCAGAAAAAGAAATCAATTTTACTCTACGTAAAGTTTTTAAATAATGGTTTTTAAAAATCTAACCAGAGCAGATGGCAAGTCAGGAGAAAATATCTGCAACATACAGAAAATATTTGCAAACAGTGTGACAAAGAATTCTATAATATATAAAGCGTTCCTACCAAAAAAGATAGAGACTGTCAGGTTGGATTTTTTTTTTTTATTTATATGCTGTTCACAAGACACAAACTTGAAATATGATGATACAGTAGGTTAAAAGTAAAAGGATGGAAAAAAAATATACCATCCAAACAATTTTTTTAAGCTGGCTTGGCTATAT